CCCACACACACTCTCCCCTCACCCTCTATCTCCCTCCCACTGTCTCTGAAAAGCAATGGAAAAAACTATCCTCAGGTAAGGATTAAAAAAAATTTTTTTTTAATGGATGTTATATTTCTTCTTACAGCAAAAATAAATAGATGTTAATTACATTAGATGTTAATTACATTAGAGTTTCACTTATTCATGAGCATAGACAAGAAAAAGGTAATGGAATGAGATCGTACTTTTAAAAAATAGGTCCACTGGGCTTGGGCATGCTACATCGAAGTTTGGGGCCTTAAAATAGCTTGAAGCAGCTGATCTGGCCTCCACACCTGGGCACAACTCCCCTGGACTCTGTTTTGGAACAAAAAAGCAGATGACCCTGGAAGGCTTCATTTTGCATGAGCCTTTACCAGGATTTAAAAAAATCAAACAGACTCAACAACATGAGTATCTTTTTGGACAACAAATGTAAAATCTGTCACCTTCATTATGCAATACATGATGTTTCCCACAATTACAGATCGCAAACATGAACCACTTACGTGAAGCTGGCTTGGTCAAGGGCCAACGTTGTCAGATAGTTTATTTATTTTTCACACTAAATAACACTAAAACCTCCACTTGTTTTGTGGGAAGACAGAGCAGCGGTGGGTGGGTGGTGTATTTATAAGCTGTCTGGTAATATTCGCACCTTTAAATGCAGCTGAGAATACATTGGGCCTGCCACTGTATCTCCCAGATTATTTGTGGTTCTTTGAAAAACACCCAGATCTCCTGTCTTTCTGTGGTAACCAGCTGTGAGCTGTCTGATAAGGGACCCGGGACAACTGCACAGTTGGTGAAGGCCCTCTCCAGTGACCCCCAACTCTCTTTGCTCTGCCTCTCTGCAGTGTGTGCCTCCCGATGAAGCCTGCACCTCGCTGGATGCCTCAATGATCTGGGCCATGATGCAGAATAAGAAGACATTCACCAAGCCCCTCGCTGTGGTCCCTCAGGAAGTAAAATCAGAAGGTGTGTTTTGGGAGTCTCGATCAAAGAATAGGGGCCTCAGGGGGCTGCTTGTTAAGAGGTTCCAATACTGTAAATCAAAATCCACTTTTATTCAAAAGATACAATAATGGCCAATTAGTAATTTTAGATAAGGAGTCTTTGCCTGAGAAGTTTTTTATTTAGTTCATTGTCCGACTGACATGTGGCTCAGTGGTTAGGGATACACTTGCAAATGATTTCCTCTTTAAATATTAGATCAAGGTTGATCCTGTTACCATGTCACTCTCTCTTGCTCTCAGATACACTTCCTCGAGTGTGTAAGAAAGGGTTAGAGTTCCTTTTGGCGTGCGGGAATGGCACACAGTCTACACCCATCTTTCCGTGATCTGCTGGGAATGGTGGTTCTGGCTACAAGCTATTGTAGTACTTTGTCAAGATCACAAAAGCCTTTGGGCAGGGTGTGATGTGTGTGAATGCCATCCATCTTAGGTGTCACAGCAGAAAGAAGGTTGAGAACTAGTATTCACATGCGCTTTTAAAATTTAGTTTTCAGAATTTTACGCAGTCACATTTGTTGCTTGAAGCCAGGGGAGTCTCTGTCTGCGCATGCAGGAAGATGCATCTTCTGGGGGAAAAGGAAGGATGTACTCTAAGAGGGGTGGTACTGGTAACTGGGAGGACAGGCCAGCCCAGTCTGCAGAAAGACAGAGGTGGGCTGTGTGGGGCTCTCAGGAATGCACGTGAGGCCCTGTGGACTGATCTGACAGGAAGCAGTATCACAGCTCCAACCAAGGGCATGAAAAAGCAGGAACACACCAGGCAGCTATCAACAACCAAATGTCATAGGGGCAGCTACAGTTCTCACTGTCTGAAAAAAGCCCGTGACTATCCAGAAACCTGGTCTAAAGGTGCCAAACTAAGAGGAGGCAGGGAGAGCTAAAGTGGATTTCAGGCCTCTAGGGTAAATATTTCAGGCCTAGAGCCCCAGGCTGCCTTCTGCCACCCGAGAGACAGAGAAAGCCTGTCACCGGCACCCAGGGCCTTGACAAAAGCCAGCGAACAGCCTGACTCTGGTTGCCGGGCATTAGCTGGGAGACCTGCTGGATGGTGTTGACACCAGATCTAGGCTTGGGGCAGCTCTGAGATGGCATTTCTGGTCCGAGCATTGTTGGACTTGGCAGGACTGGGCAGCAGGGGCGGCCCTGAAGCAAACAGGACCTAACAACAGAGGCATGTGGATGCCGTCCCGTTGAGTGACCTTTGTGAAAACAGCAGTGGCATTCCTATTGTCATATCTGGTGATGACATCCGCCCCCTCCCCAGAAACATGGTCACTTCAGAAAAGCAGGAGAGGGTAGTGGGGAGGGCGCTGGCTTAGAGCCAGGAGCTTGGGTGGTAGCTCTTAGCTTTCCCCATAACGGGCTGTGGAACTTTGGAGATCTCCTCTCATGGCCTCGGATTTCATTTTCTTTATCTGGAAAAGGAGGGGCTTGGACCAGCTGACTTCCAGAGGCCTTTCAGCTGTAACACTCAGCTATGCTGTCTGCAGAAGCAAAATAGTCTTTTCTTCATTCCCCAGCCACCCAAAAGTTGGTGTGAAATGTACATATGAGATGTTTATTGGTTCCTCAGTAATGTTTTTATTGTTGTTTGTTTTGCTTTTTTTTTAGGTTGGTTTTCAACCATTCAAAACAGGTGTAGCAGTCTTAGTCTTTCAATAAATGAATTGTCCAAATAGTTCCTTGTTTATTAGGTCCAGGGGAAAGAAGAAATTGTGTTGTAAAGTGTATCACAACTGGGCAACAGCTGGCCCCGTCTTATACTGTGAAAGTAATTTAACAATAGCAACAGCTACCTCCTACTCCATCTGTTACTCTTACCTATTTTGAGAGAGGTAATTCCACTGGTAATTGAAGGCAGCAGCTTGCTTTTTCCTATGCCAGACAATAATTAGGCATTAATGTTGCAGCAGTATAACTTCCAGTAATTCATTCATTCTTCTTTTAAGTCTGGTGGTATTTTTCTAAGTAATTCCTCTTGTAAATTAGGCAATTGCTTTTATTTAAACTTAGTGTAATTATCCTGAAAGTTCAGTGTTTTCTTTACATAAAGTTCAAGAGGGAAGTTTTACCAGATATCAAAGCACTTTCATGAGATTTGCTGATCGAGACTAGATTTTGGTGGAGAAGCATGTCGTGACGAAAGTTCATTGCTTAGATTTGTTGAACAAATTGAGGAGGTTAGACTGTAGGCCACTTCCCAGGGGCTGTATGCAACTGAATGGGGTAGCTTTTCTGACAGTTTTCAGCTCTATGAGTGACTCCTCTTACCTTTTATGTTTATTTTTCTTTGACTCTAAATGATTTCTCCTCAGTGCAGGCCGTTCGAGTCTGTGCTTTTCCTCTGCCTCTCAGTGCACTGGAATAGTCTGTTGAAAAGGGAATGTGACATTTGCCTAATAGCATTTGTTTATTTGAATAAGAGGACCATGAATTTTTTCTTCCTTCCAGACAGCTTTGTGTGTTACTATAGTAAGACACAGATACTATATTCTCTCTGGAAGTGGGCACATCTCCTATTGGGATTGACATTTGGGATAAAAATTTTCTAACCAGTGGGACGTTTCACTGTCCTGTTACTACACAGGTGCTCTTTGAAGGCCATCAGAGTTATAGCCCTCCGTGGTCACTGGGTCCATCGTATTTCTCAATACTTGAGTTTTCTGGGTCAGCTGATAAAGGCTCTCATTGTCAACTACATAGCCAGGCAGAGGTCTGCTCAGGGGCGACCACTACCAATAGCATGGACCCGTTTCAAGCAGGGTTTCATCCTTCTGTAGACAGGGAGAAGAGACCATCAAGACTAAATAATTTTGGGTGCCTCCTCTGGGCCACTGTTTTTGTTTGTTTGTTTTAAATAGATCTTTATTGTTTTCAGAGAGAGAGAGAGAGAAACATAAAAGATGAGAGAGTCATTGATCAACTGCCTCCTGCACGCCCCCAACTGGAGATCGAGTCCTCAACCTGGGCATGTGCCCTGACGGGGAATCGAACCGCAATCTCCTGGATCCTAGGTTGATGCTCAACCGCTGAGCCACACCCAGGCGGGCTGGGCCACTGTTTTTAATGGAAGATTCCTGAGCTCCTGCAGCACGTCTTTGCCACTTTAATTTCTCAGTCTCTTGGGAGTCAGCGTTGGGTGAGCATTCTTTGGCTGTTTAAACTTTCAGCAATAGATGACAGTGATGGAGATGATGATTATTTAACATTTATTGAGCATTTACTTAATACAAGGTTCTGTGCTAAGTACTTCATGTGGGTTATATTTCATCCTTTTAGCCCCTTTGTGAGGCAGGTATAGGGTGAGGCTAAGTAACTTGGCCAGGGTCGCGCCACATCTGAACGGCAGATCCTGGATTCAACTCCAGGCGCTTTGATGCCAGAGCCTGTGCTCTTAAACCCTGTGCCTTATCCTAGGTAGAAGTTGATTCCAGTTTTTAATGAAAACAAGTGTAATGTAATTAACCCTCTGTGAACTGGAAAGAGGCTGAAGAATTTTAAAAAGAAAGACTTTTCCCCTGAAGGGTTAAGATATTTGGGAACATGTAAACAATTTAAGAGAGTATTAAAGTTTAGGGGAAGTCCTCTGACTTTGAATTGTAACTCACAAAAACACCTAGAAAACATGAATAGTTTATGCGTATTATGGTTTATGGCAAAACAATTAAAATAGTTGAGGCAATGCCATCCTGCCATATTTTCTGACATATTTTGAAGTATAGGCATGTGAGTGCTGTTTGCTTTGGATGCTGTGACTACTTTTTACAGCAGTTGAGAACACTTGGGCTTCCACAATAAAATTGGTTCTACCACGTCAGTGGTGATTTTTTTTTTTAAACAGTGAAAGGGAAGAATAATTGTTTCTCTGAAATGTTGGGCTCTAAAATTTTGGGCACATACACAAAAAATGGGGCACAAAAGAACAATGAATATCATGTCGAATTTGCCATGATTTATATACGATACGTAATTATCAGTGAGTTAAAATGAGCGCATTAAATGTTTAAAATACTGAATTTCCCCCCCATTTTTTTACCACATAACTTTCTCAAAATAAAAGTGCTCGGGACAGCACCCGGCATATCATGGGCACTCAGTAAATGTTAATTTCCTTTCCTTTCCTGTAACCTCTCAGCCAAACCAAGTTTCTGGAGGGAGGTGGGGAGAGCGGGGTGGAAGGGAAAGTTGTGAACGTCAGTTGGAAGTTAATCCAAGGGAGGCGTTACTTTTTGGAACACATTCTATTTTTCCAGAACAAAAATACTCTAAAGCACCAGCCAGGTTTTGTCCTCAGGCTGAGGTAGAGATGAGGGGAAGCTGAGTAGAAAGAAATGTATAAATGCTGAATTGACAGACCAAGACATTCTGTTTCTATCCCATAAGGAAGAAGAGGTATCCCAGGAATTTTTTTTATTTTTATTTAGTGTGCTTCACATTTAAAAAATTTTTTACTCTGGAAAATTTCAAATATATACAAAAATAGAATAGAATGAACTCCCATGAACCCTCCATCTGGTTTCAACAATTACCAATTCGTAGCCAATCTTGTTTTATCACTTCCTGCCCCTGGATTGTTTTGAAGGAAACCCAGACATTTAATTTCATCCATAAATATCTCAGTATGCACCTCTAAAAGTTAAGACCCATCAAAAGATCCCAAGTAGGGAGCCGATGATCAGATCACAGTAATAAGATGTACATGATATTTACGGTTATTTATTCTCCCAAAAATGTTTATTGAGTACCTATTATAGGCTTGGCATATAGTAAATATATTACCCTGTGTTTAAGGCCTTTACAGTGTAGTGTAGAGTTTCACAGCCTCAGTACTATTGACGTTTTGGTTGGATACCCCCCAAATGGCACTTGCAGGGAGCTGTCTTGTGCACTGGAGGGTGTTAAGCAGGCCCCTGGCTCTACCCACTAGCTGCCCATAGTGCACTCCTCCATGATCAGCTGTGACCTGGAATGTCTCCAGACATAGGCACATGTCACCTGGAGGCAAGGGGCAAAAATCACCCTAAGATGAGAACTATTGATCCTAGTGGAAGGATACAGATAAGTGACCAGGCAATTGCAGTAAATGCCATAAATACTGAAACAGCCCAGAGAAGGGGCTCATTTACAGTGAAGTAAAGTTAGTAAAAACTGTATCTTAAATGTGACCTGCATGAAGTCCTCCTGAGTCTCCACCTTCTTTATCTCTCTGTCCTTCCCTCCTTGCCAGATACCAATAGATGTGGGTACCAGTTGGGCACCTTGTTTCCCTTTGGGTCTGCTCGCTTCGAGCATGTTTAGGAGAACTGAACTGAAAGTCGGAGGCCAAATCTGTGGTCAGTTACTCATGCATAACCCCAGCAATGTCCTGTTTATGAAAACCGTGCCTGCCACTCCAAGCAGGAAAATTTTGGTTCTAGAGGTTGACCAAAATTTGCTCAGAGTATATGAAAAGATTCAGTTCAGAACGTTGATTATAGTTTGTTCTTTCTGTAAAGAAATCTGTATTGTTAAAATTCTTTTTACAATAATAGCTAGGATTCCTTTCTTACAATCTTACCCTTAAACCCAAAGTAAATATTGTTGTGTCCACTCTTTTCCTTGCAGCATGCCAACTCGATTACAGGGTTCCAGCAGAGATCAAACTCCCTCAGTTATACATACTCCCGACTTATTAGGGACTTTGGAACAAAGAAGTTAGAGAATAAAATCCTCCAACCTCAGTTCTGTAGCGTGTGCTTGTTATTGTTTATGCACAGAAATCACAGAGCAGCTTTCCCCCCGGGACATAAGCAACAATTTTTTCTGCTTAGCTCTGTGAGGAGGCCCCCATTTGGGGTGGGGGAAGAGGGTTAGATCATAACATAAGTTCATTAAGAAATTTAAACCAATGCCATCCATCACACAGGCCTTGCTGTAAAACCTAAATTCTTACATGTGAGGTCTCCTTGGGGAAGGATCATTATTTAAAACCTCTTGGGGATTCTGAGTGACAAAACTGAACCATGGGTAGTTAATTGGATGGAACTGTTCCCAGAAGTGTGTGTGTGTTTCTCACACGATGCACACTGTGGAGACCTTTAAATGCCTTTGGACTTAGTTCAACAAATCAAATCACTGCTTCTCGAAAGTAGGGAGAATGTTGTGGTTTAGCTGCCCCTATTTCACAGGGTTCTTGGGAGTTTAAGATGAAAAAATATAAGTGAAAGCTTTTTTTTTCAGTTGTAAACCACTATGCAAATGTACAAATGTAAAGCATCACCATCGTTATTTTATTGCTGCCAATGAGGCTGATAAGACCAGTCCCCCAGGAAAGAGTGTCTTATGGGCATGTTGGTGTGTGTTCTGAATACTGAATTAAATTTCCTTAAAAATCACACAATTACTTTAATTTTCTTAGTAATTTTATTTAAGTGTAACTCATTCCAGTGCCACCATCGTGGCCAACTCCGGGAGGCGCCATTCAGTGGTAGTGGCTCTGATCCTTCCAGTCAGTATCTTTCCTTCCCCTAGAGCTGGATCAGGATACCCCATGCTGCAAGGGTGGGATCAGCCCACTGAGGTGGTTATTCCTGAGATTTTACAATCCTATGTTGCTTCTTTATTTTTATAAACGTCAACTCAAACGCTGCTTGTTTTTGCTCAATTTTTCCAAAGTTCTTTTTGCTTCACTGTGGATTCCAGCACAAAGTGTGTATTCCTTCTTTACTGAATGAAAATGGAGATGAAAAGAGAGGTGCTCAACACTTACCACTTTTAAATTCTAGAGAGAAGGGCCAGAGCCTGTGCCAGGACTCAGTCCCCTTTTTCTATAAAGGACCAGATAGTGACTGTTGTCAGCGCGGGGCTCGTACAGTCCCTGCCTCAACTATTCCGTGCCGCCGCCTCATGAAAGCAGCCAGTCTAGGTGTACATGAATGAGCATGGTTATGTTCAAATAAAACTTTATTTACGGAATAAATTTGAATTTCATAAAATTTTTACATGTCATAAAATGTTACTTTTGATTATTTTCAACCATTAAAAAATATATAATGCATCCTTAGTTTATGCACCGTATAAAAACCAGTGGACCACGGTGTGCTCCCCCGGCCCCTGCTGTTACCGCTGCTAAGGAGAGTGAGTGGCTGTGCATCAGGAGCTTCTTGGTCACTGCTCCCCAGCTAAGGACAGAGCAACACTCGCCAGCCATTTAGCCTACGAGGCAGAATCTGGAATTCTGGTTCAACCCCTGCCCTGATGCTTTGCAGCTGTGACCTTGTGCTGATCACATGATATCAGAGTCTCAGGCTGCTCGTTTGTAAAAGAGCGATACTTATTTTTCTCTGCCTCCCTCGCAGGGCTTTGTGAACTCCAAATGAGATCATGGCTAAGTAGCACTTTCTAAACATGAAAGCACTGTAGACATGTTGAGGCACACAGGCATTTTCATACAGTCTTATTCCAAGTTTCCTCTATTGCCTCCACTTTCAAAAAGTACGTTGACATTCTAACCACCCATCACCAAACATTTCTGGCAGGCCTGTTGTATGCTGAGCAGATTAAGAACTAGAGTCTTCCCTCG